AGAGATGCAGAGAGAGGGAGATACAGAATCCTAAGCAGGCTCCAGGCTCTGAGATGCCAGCACAAAGTCTGATGCAGGGCTCTAACTCACGACCTGTGAGATCATGACCTGAGCCGAAGTCAGACACTTAACCCACTGAGCCACACAGGTGCCTCTAAGAGGACATATTTGTTAAGTAAGATCTATGCTCAATGTGGGGCTAGAACCCACAACCCTGAGATCAAGAGTCACATGTTCTTTTTTTTTTTTTTTAAGGAGTCATATGTTCTATTGACTAAGCTTTCCAGGTGCCCCAAGAGAACATCTCTTGATGATGACTGGAGTCCAAGTGCAAATGGATGCCCTCTTCTGGGGGATCCCCCAAGGTAATGTCCCAGCTCAGGGGAGATGACTTCATAATAGTTGTTGTTCATTCCTTCATTCATTAATCATATATTCCCAATAGCTACAGAGTCCAGGCCTTGGCCCTTGATACTGGAATCCAATGTGGCCCACTGTGCCAGCCCTCTGAGGGCTCAGAGGCCACAGTACCAAAGAACCCACACACACTTGGTAAGTGTCATGTGCAAAGTATGTAGGAAGAAAAGCAAAGAGTGGCTTATGGGTGGGTCCAATGAAGACTTTTCAGAGGAAGACGTGATCTAGTTAGATCTTTTTTTTTTTTAATGTTTATTTACTTATTTTGAGAGAGAGAGAGAGAGAGAGCAAGTAGGGGAGGGAGGGGTGGAGAGAGAGAAAGAGAAAGAGAGAGAGAGAGAATCCCAAGCAGGCTTTGAGCCACCAGCACAGAGTCCAATTCGAGGCTCAAACACGTGAGCAGTGAGATCATGACCTGAGCTGAAATCAAGAGTCAGATGTTGAGCTGAGCCACCCGGATGCCCTGATCCAGTTAGATCTTAGTGGCTGACGAGGAGTATTTGAAGCTCCACAAAGACAAGGTCTTATCAACACTGTCTCCAGTGACCAAACAGGGACACATGTAAAATGCTAAATATTTACATAAAAGAACTGTGCTCTTCTTCTAGAAGGCCCTTCTCTTTCCAGACAGAAAGTTTGCCTGTATCAGGTCACCAGGCTGCAAATAACTGAAAACCCTGTCTCATGGGCTTAAGCATTAAGGGCAATATATTTTGTCACAATTAAGGAGTCTAAAGGTGGGTGGCTGGGGTGTGTGTGGATAGTACATTTTAGAAGCTCAAGGAAGTATGGAGGGGGGAGGGGGAGGGGTGACATAGATAAAGAGGATTAAGAGTACACTTATCTTGGTGAGCACTGAGAAATGTATAGCATTGTTGAATCACTATGTTGTATGCTTGAAACTAATATAATGCTGTATGTTAATTATACTTGAATTAAAAAATAATAAAAATGTTTGAAGTTTCCTTATTTATTGGTGGGGAGGGGCAGGGAGAGAGTGAGAGAGAGAGAATCCTAAGCAGGCTCTGTGCTGTCATTGCGGAGCCTGATTTGGGGCTTGATTTCATGAAAGATGAGATCATGACCTGAGCCTAAACCAAGTTAGACACTCAACCAACTGAGACACCTAGGTGCCACCAAAGTAATAGTAAATTTCAAAAGAAATTTATAATATTTATTTATTTTTAAGAGACATAGAGACAGACCACAAGTAGGGGAGGGACAGAGAGAGAGAGGGAGACACAGAATCTGGAGTAGGCTCCAGGCTCTGAGCTGTCAACACAGAGCCCGATGTGGGGCTCAAACCCATGAACTGTGAGATCATGACCTGAGCCAAAGTTGGATGCTCAACTGACTGAACCACAGGGGCATCCCTAAATTTTTCAAAAAGAAGTATGTAGAGGTTCCTGGGTGGCTCAGTTGGTTAAGTGACTGACTCTTAGTTTCAGCTCAGGTCATGATCTCACAGTTTCATGAGTTCAAGCCCTGTGTCGGGCTCTATACTAGCAGTGCAGAGCCTGCTTGGGATTCTCTCTCTCCTCCTCTCTCTGCCCCTCCTCAGCTTGCACTGTCTCTGTTTCTCTTAAAATAAATAAGTGAACTTAAAAAAAAAAAAAGGAAGTATGGGGGCACCTGGGTGGCTCAGTTGGTTAAGCATCCGACTTCAGCTCAGGTCATAATCTCATGGTTCACGGGTTTGAGCCCCACATTGGGCTTTGTGCTGACAGCTCAGAGCCTGAGCCTGCTTCAGATTCTGTGTCTCCTTCTCTCTCTGTCCCTCCACTGCTCACACTCTATCTTTCTCTCTCTCTTAAAAATATATAAACATTAAACATTTTCAAAAAAGAAAGTATGGAGGGCTTAGATTCCTTCCATCTCTCTAAGCTGCTTCTTTTAAGGGAGTTAGCTTGTTCTCAGACCCTCATGGTCTCCAGGCATCTTATGGAGACACAGAGACATTCAGGGTAAGAAGAGGATGAAGGGATCTCCTTGTGTATCCTAGTAATTGCTGGGAAGCCTGTCTTGAATATGGTGAGTTTGTGCTGAGCACTCATTTCAACTTCCCTCTTATATGCCTTGCTGCCTGCAGAGGCTAGAAGGCTTAAAAACTACATTTCCCAGACTGCCCTACAGCCAGGGTCTCCCTTATTCCATCTGTGTTTGTCCAATCAGATGCCCTCACACAAGATTTGAATGATGGACACTCTCCCACTGGCTCTGCCATCATGAAAGGCTATGCTGTTCCACAGTGGTCTTTCTGATCACAGGCCTTTCCTGATGGCAATTGTCTTGTCACTAGGCCAGATTCCCGGTTGTGCTGCCTTCCCGAATGTGCTAGCAGAAGCCGATTCCTAAAGAAGCAGTCCAGGTCCTGATGGTAGAAAAGTAGCGGGCCCTTGGGAAGCCCAAGTTTATGGCTTGGCTCTTGAAGTGATACCAGGACAGTCTATACAGAATCTGTTCAACCTTCTTGATATTTCTGTTAGCCGTTTAACATCCTGTAATAAAACACGTCCTGCAAAAATTAACTAGTCTAGGTCCTGATCTCTCTAATGAATGGTGTGAGTTTGTGACAGCTATGTAACAAATTACCACAAACTTTGTGGTGTCAGAAATTCATTCTCTCGCAGTTCTGGAAACCGGAAGCTCGAAATCAATATCACTGGGCTAAAATCAAGGTGCGAGCCAGGCCATGTTCCCTTCCGTGGCTCTAAGGGAGAATCTTCCTTGCCTCCTCCAGGTTCTGGGGGCTGCCGGTCTCCTTGGCTTGTGGCCGCATCACTTGATTCCAACATCTGCCTCTGTAGTCACCTTGCTTCTTCCTCCTTTTTTTTTTTTTTTTAAGGTTTAAAAAAAAGTAATCTCTACACCAAGTGTGGGGCTCAAACACACAACCCCTAGATCAAGAGTCACAGGCTCCACCCACTGAGCCAGGCAGGTGCCCTGCCTCCTCCTCTTTTGTGTGTGTAATCTCCCACTGCCTTGCTCTTATAAGACACTGACCAGGGCATTTAGGCGCCCTCTCCATCATCTGGGATAGTCTCAGCTCACCTCTTCCTTAATTTAATTACACTTGCAGAGACCTCCCCTCCCCCCCAGTAAGGTCACATTTACAGGTTCCTGGGATTAGGAAGTGGATATCTTTTGGAGAGCCATTTTTCAGCTTGCCACATGAGGCAATACAAAGCCTTTCTAGAGCACCTCAAGCCACATCCCCCTCATCATCTGCCAGAGCGGGGTCCCCATGCAATGTGTCCTCTCTCATCTAGAATCACCCTCTGCTCTGTTCTAGGTCTTCAAGTCTGGATGACATCAACTGCAATCTAGTTGCTCACCTCCTGCCTTCCAGCCGGGTTTAGCCAATGAGAGGTGTCAGCAGAGAATTGAGGGGGGTAGGGAGAGTAGCTGGGTGTTAACTCCCCTGTCTACATCCCTGCTGGGCTGTGTGCTGGCAGCAGTAATGTTCCAGAATCTCTATCAGGGGACTGATGATTACTCCCTCCCACATCCTTTCTGGTTTAGGAATGGTAATAGCTTCTGGCCATTGGCTGGGCCTGGGATGCTTACCTTTGCTGGTTTCCTTTAACCATGAACATTGCTGCTTAAATAAATGCCTTACCTCATTCAACCTACCGACCATGACACTGGTGTGCTGCAGGGATCCTGGCTGATAGGCATGCCTATGCTAATCCTTAGAGGAATGGGAATCCTGTGATTGGTTTTAGACCCATCAAGATTCACCTAAGAATAACACAGGGGACGGGATCTGACAAAGAGACATGAGAAATCTGTGTTGGGCTGGGAAGAGCTGTGTCTCCTTTATCCATTTTAGAGATAAGACCCTAGGATAATACTTCCTCTCTTGTTTGACAGTTTACATGTTAATGCTTTTTTAAAAAAGTAATGCTAAATTGATTTAGTCTTGAGTCCTTATTCTGTGCCAGGGCCTATGCCTTAGCAGTTGGTATGACTGAACGCCTTTAATTCCCACCTGCCTGTTGAGGAAAGATATTAAAACTCTTTTATCAATTGGAAATGAAGAGTTGAAGTGATTTGCCCAAGATGATGCGGTAACTGAGCGGGCGGAGTTGAGATTCTAAGATCTCTCTGACTTCACAGTTCACATTTTTAACCACTACAACTATTCTGTCTTCTTTATCGTGCTGGAGATACTTCCACATCTCAGGTCAGGTGCGAATTGCTTTGCCTGTATTATTTCTAATCCACAAAAGGTATGAATACATGCACCATCTTCCCTGCCCCGCTGAGGTCTAACTCACCATCAGATCCCACCTAGACTCCCTCATCCACTCTTAGAAGCCAGTCCTCTCTCCTTTTTTGAGGCCCGAACCTTTAGAAACCTACATTGGAGCAGTGGCTTCCTGGCTTAAAACCCTGCAAGGCCTCCCCCTGTATCCACCAGGAAATCCAAGTGCTTTGAACACCTCACAGGCACCAGAGGACCTGGCCTCCGCGCCCACTGGCTGAGACACCGCTGCCGCCAGGGACCCTCAGAGGGCAGGGCCCGCGGCCTCCCGCCTGCAGAGCTTCGGCTTCGGGTCCCAGGCCGAGCCACGGCCGCATCACAGACAAGGCCCCGAGTCCGCCACCAGCCTCAGGTCCCACGTGAGCAGGCGCAGCAGGTTGAAGATGACGCTGGCTTCGTGGCACCCAGGCGAGACCTGGAACCCGGGAAGGAGGCGGAGCCGGGCTGAGCCACGAATTCCCTTTGGGACACACTCCCCTCCGAGTGCGCAGCGCCCCGAGCCTGAACTCCCATCGCGTCTCAGCCCCGCACCATCTCCCCCCTCCCCCCGCCCCTGCAGACTGACAGCTTCACGCGCCGCTGCACTCACAGCTCTGCGTGTCTGGGGACGCCTCCGCGGGGGCCGGAGGGACTTCCTCCAGGAGACCAGCTGCACCAGCCGGAGCTGCAAGGGGAACAGGAGGGACATGGAGACCACGAAGAGCCCAGTGTCGCTGGGACTCTGCCCGTGAGTGACTCCCACCACAGACCAAAGCCCGGATGGGGGGACACCGAGACGACGCGGATCGTGTCTGGGCCGGCTTTTCGGTTCGGGGGACAGATTGGCCAAGCGGGTGGGCCTCGCCTGGAGGTTCGGGGGTGCAGAGCGAGCCCGGGGGCACCGGGGGCGCGGGCGGTACTCACGCAGGCCCCCACGTCCCGCCGCGCGGCCGCCAGCAGCTCCAGGGTCGGGCCGGTGCCGGGAAACTTCCGGGAGCCGGCGGAGTTAGGCCGCCCTCAGGGCCCGCGCTGCCCCCCCGACGGCTCGCCCGCCTCACCCAGGGCCGCGGAGGATCCCTCCTTGGGCGGAAGGAGCAGTTGCGCGGCCTCCAGCTCAGAGTCTCCTCCTCCTGCGGGACAAGGGTCGGGGTGAGGCTGCCTCCTCGCTGCGCTCCCGAAGCGCTGGGAAGGCGGGGATTCCTACTCGTGGGACGCTCACGGCCGGGACGGTTGTGCGGACTGTGCACTGAAACCCATAGCTCTCGGAAGGCGTGAACGGTGGCTTGAAGGCACCCCGCGGTCGCCTAGCAGAGCCTTGCGCCCAGACGTGGAACCGACTCGGCCTGGAGGGGGCGCCCTTTGGGGACCGGCACAGAGGCAGTGCGTGTGCTGACCGCAGGGGGGACTCGCAGGTTCCCGCGGTCAGAATTCTGCCCTAAGACTCAAAGCGCGCCTGCTGGGCGCTGGGACGTAGGGGCCCTCGGGGACAAGGAGCAGCGGCTGAGAGCCCAGTTGGTCCTCGGTCTCTGGGGACCGGATGGGGAGGTCTGGGCGTCACTCACGTAGCGGTCTCTCAGCGCCTTGACCGCCGCCAGCACCCTGGGGTCCAGCGAGCGGTAGTGTGACAGCAGGCAGCGCCGGGGTGTCGCCGCGCCAGGGTCCGCCGCCTCGCTCACCGTCACCAAGACCCACAGCCCCGCGACCACCGTGGCTGCGCCCCTCGGCCCCATCTCTGGTTCTGCGCAAGGCGAGGGACCCAGAGTCCAAGCCCCTGCCTCTGCTTGGCCTCGCGCAGGGACTGATGCTCAGAGCGCGGGCCGGAGAGACGGACCAGCCCGGAGCCCTCTCGTGTGCCCTCGGCCCGTCTCTGCCCGCCGCTCACCTGCAGGGTGACCTCGGTGCCCCCTCGTGCTGCTGCGGCGCCCGCCTTCCTGCGTCCCCAGGCTGGAGCCCACCTTGGACAGCGGCGCCTGCAGGGTCCATGGGGCTTTTATGTGCGGGGCTGAGAGATGGTGAGCAACCGGACTTCCCCACCTCTCCCCGGCTAAGCTTTCCGAACGTCAGCGCCGGGGCGCCTGCCCGGGGCTGTGCCAGCGTGTCTCGGCCCCACAATGTGCCACCAGTTCTGGTCTCTGTTCCACCTGAATCCTCTTGTCATCAGCCTGGGTGGTCTTACCTCCATTCTAGTATACTAGGCAGCCTTTATATAGCACTTACTGTGTACTAGGCCCTGTTCTAAATCATCGATACACAGGTGGCACATTTAATGCTCCCACAGGACTCTGCAAGGGCTGCCCTACTATCGCCTCCATTGTGTAGATGCGAAAACTGAAGCGGAGTGAAGTGATGGAACTTTCCCAAGATACACAGTAAGTGGACAGTGGCTGGATTTGAACCTACTCAATGCCCAGCCCCAGGGCTTTCTCTGTAAGCCGTAACTGCCCCCACATATCTGATTCAGTCTTCTCCTGTCTCTCTATCTCTGTTCATCTCACTCCATTCCTCTTTCTCACCTCTGGAGAGGCCTCCCTTGTCTTTCTTTCCTGTTTCTGTCTCTGACTTTGTCTAGCTCCATATGTGTCTCATTCCTTTAGGTAGCAAACATCTAGCCTAGGATTTCTCTGTCTGCCTCAATCTCCTTATTTTAGTTTAAAGTCTACTACTTTGTTTTGTGATAGAATTAGCAATGCAGATTCATGGGATAAAGCTCAGAAAATACAGAAGTGGATAAAGGAGATAAAATCCCACCTATAACTTCATTACCTACCTCTCCCCCTTATCCTGGCTCTGGAACTATGTTTCCAGTGTGTAGAAAGTTTATGTCTGTTTATTTGTGCATAGGTTTTATGATTCCCAAAGTAACACATTCAGAGATTCAATCACTACAAACACATATGACTTGGAGAGTTAAAGGAAGTCTTTAATCGCACTTCTTGGGGGTAATTCTTTTTAACAATTAGTAGCAATTCTGTGTGCATGCACTCTCTCTCTCTCCCTCTCCCCACCCACTGTTTTTTTTTTCCTTCTTTCTTTCTAGGAGTAATTTCTCCTAAATTGAAACCAGGCTGTATACAGTGCGGTAAGCCTGCTTTTTATGTCTTACCAGTATCTGTCATTTGCATTTCTCTGCATCTTTAATTATACTGTATCGGTTAGGGCCCCAGCAGGAAACAGATGGCCCAATCAATTTAGGATAATTTGAGGTAGGCTTAATACCAAGAGTATTTACGAAGGGTTTGAGTAGTGGAGGTAAAAGCAAAGGGTAGTGCAAGGCCTTGGGCCCCTGGATGGGGGAACGATCTGTCATCCTTAGCCCTGAAGGGACAGGGGAGAGAGAGAGTAGTTACCTCACCTGGGAAGGGGAATCTTGTTCACAGGATGGACAAATAGACAAATCGTAGTGGCCTTGCAAGGAGGAAGCCTGGAGATGAAATATACTCTCACCTTTCAGAGGATGAATACTCTCCTTTCCTCTCCCTGGCCTTACTGCTAGGCTTCCAATGGACCCAACCCAACTGAAGCCAAAGGCCAGCCTCCTGGGGTCTGGCACAGGATGAAGCAGTGGGAAGAGAGAGGCTGGAGTGGCAATGGAAAACATCCCACACAGACCACTGTTGAGGCTTCCAGTCTAATGGGATCATTTAATAGCCAATAACCCTTCTTGGTGGGCACTGATGTTATTTCCAGGTTTTGTTAAAGCCATGGTTCTCAAGGCTTGTGGAGAAGGGAGAGAGCAAGTTTCTCATTCTCTTAACAGCTGAAGTTTTCAAGTTGAATAAAGATTAACTCATCAATTTTTTTCCTCTTAGGGACTGTACTTTCCGTGTACCTAGAAAGTCATCACCAAATCCAAGGTCCTCTAGATTTTCTCCTGTGCTGTGTTCTGGGAGTTTTATAGTTTTACACTTTATATTTAGATCTGTGGCATGTATTGAGTTAACTTTGTGAGACACGTAAGATCTGCATGTAGATCTGTGTTTTCTGCATGCGATGTCCACTTGTTTCAATACCATGTGTTGAGAAAACTGTTTCTCCACTGACTTGCCTTTGAGTCTTTCTCAAAGGTCATTGCCTATATCTGTGTGGGTCCATTCCTGGGCTCTCCACTCTGTTCTATTTATTTGTCCAGCCTTTCACCAACACCCCACTGTCTTCATTACTGCAACTGTATAGGGAGCCTTGAGGTCAGGTAGTGTCAGTCTTCCAACTCTGTTCTTTTCCTTTAACATTGCGTTAGCTGTTCTGGGTCCTTTGAATCTCTATATAGACTTTCAGTTTGTCAATATCCACAAAATAACTTGCTGTGATTTTGTTTGGATTGCATTGAATCTTACAGATTAAGTTGCAAAGAGCCGACATTTTGACAATATTGAGTCTTCCTATCCATGTACATGGAATATCTCCATTTTTAGATATTCTTTGATTTCTTTCATTAGAGTTCTGTAGTTTTTCTCACATAGATCTTGTTCATATTTCGTGAAGATCTGTAGCTAAGGGATACCTGAATGGTTCAGTCAGTTAAGCGTCTGACTCTTGATCTTGGCTCAGGTCATGATCTCATGGTTTGTGAGATCGAGCCCCATGTCAGGCTCTTTGCTGACAGTGTGGAGCCTGCTTGGGATTCTCTCTCTCTCTTCTCTCTCTCTCTCTCTCTCTGCTCCTCCTTCAAGCTCTCTTGCTCTTTGTCTCTCTCTCAAAAAAATAAATAAACCTGTAAAATTATTGGGACACCTGGGTGGCTCAGTTGGTTAAGTGGCCGACTTTAGCTCAGGTCATGAACTCACGGTCCATGAGTTTGAGCCCCGCGTTGGACTCTGGGCTGACAGCTCGGAGCCTGGAGCCTGCTTCAGATTCTGTGTCTCCATCTCTCTCTGCTCTCCCCTGCTCACACTCTGTCTCTCTGTCTCTCAAAAAATTAATAAATGATGGGGCGCCTGGGTGGCTTAGTCGGTTAAGCGTCCGACTTTCGCTTAGGTCATGATCTCGCGGTTTGTGGGTTCGAGCCCCACGTCAGGCTCTGTGCTGACTGCCAGTTCAGAGCCTGGAGCCTGTTTCAGTCTGTGACTCCCTCTCTCTCTGACCCTCCCCTGCTCATGCTGTCTCTCTCTCTCTCCTAGAAATAAATAAAACGTTTAAAAAAATTAATAAATGTTTAAAAAATTATTAAAAAATAAAATGAAAGGGCTGTATACTTTATTAAAAAAGATTTGTAGCTAAATATTTCATTTTGGGGGGTGTTAACATAAGTGGTGTTTTAAATTTCAAATTCAAGTTGTTTATTGCTTTTATACAAGAAAACCAGACTTTTGTACATTGACTGTGTCCTGCAGCCTTGCTTTAACCATGCCTTGGTTCAGAAATGTGTTTTTTATTACATAATATTAAATATACAGGACATAAATAATTAAATAAAGGACTATGAAGAACACTGATCATATTGAAGCAGTTACCAAAACATAAAAACAAGTTTGTGATAATACATATGCCTCTTTATTAATGCCTTAAATGATAAGATATTTCAATAGGTTTCACAACGACTACACTTGTGAGGTAGTAATGAGAGGAAATGATATGTGAAGATATGTGTCACATCTGAAATGTGCCATGAAAATATCTGCAGTTACTTTTAGCAACAAAGTCACAGGTTCTGCTAATATGATTGTATTTTGTTGCTTACATTCCTAACGGAAATACTAACTCTCAGTTAGAGGTTAGTGAAGATGAAAATGCATCTTTTTCTCGTGCAAGTTCACTCTCCCCTGAATCTTATTGTGGGGTGGTCCATGAGCCCCAGGTTAAGCTAGACCTGCAGCTGTTAAATAGAATGAAGTAGATCTGTATGTATTGATGTGGAGGAATCTTCACAATATATTATAGAGTGAAAAAAGTACACTGCTGGGGGGCCTGGGTGGCTCAGTCGGTTGAGCATCCAACTCCTGATATTGGCTCAGGTCATGATTTCAAGGTTCATGAGATCCAGCCCTATGTGGGGCTCTGTGCTGACAGCGAAGAGACTGTTTGGGACTCTCTCTCCCTCTCCTTCTCTGCCCCTCCCCCACTCACGTGCCCACATGCTTTCTCTCTCTCTCAAAATAAATAAAAACTCAAAAGAGAGAGACAGAGAAAGAGAGAGAGATAAGAGCTTTCCTAAGATCACACAGCCGAGTGGAAGCAGAGTTGAGATTTAAAAAAAAAAAAGTACACTGTCCAATACACAGAACGAGGCACTGCCTGTGTTCAGAAGTACTCCCGGATGCAAAAGCAGTTCAGTGGAGAAAAGTAGCCTTTCCCACCAACAGTGCCGAAGCAGTTGGACATCCGCAGGCCAAAAAGTGAACCTTGCTCTAAACTTCACACCTAAAATAAAAATTAACTCAAAATGAATCATGGACTTAAATGTAAACTATGAGGCTATAAGACTTTTAGGGAAAATGAAATGAAATGAAAATGAAATGAAAAAGAACATCTTTGGGATCCAGAGCTAGGCAAAGAGTTTTTAGATTTCACACCAGAGGCTCTGTAAGAAGAAAATTCATCAATTGGAGGTGATCGAAAACCTTTCCTCTGTGAAAGACCATGTTAAGAGCATGGAAAGCTGAGCTAGAGACTGGAAGAAAATATTTGCAAACTTCGTATTTGACCAAAGACTGGTATCTAGAATACAGAAAGAGCTCTCAAAACTCAGCAGTAAGAAATTAAACTGTCCAGGGGCACTTGGCTGGCTCAGTCAGCGGAGCATGTGACTCTTGATTTCTGGGTCGTGAGTTCAAACCCCATGTTGAGTGTAGAGATTACTTAAATAAAGCTTAACAAAAATTAAACAGGCAAAATGGGGAATGCACAAAAGACATAAAGAGACATTTCACCAAAAAGGATACACAGATGGGAAATTAGCACATGAAAAAACACACCATTAGCCATTAGAGAGATACTAATGATAACCACAATGAGAACTCATCGCACAGCTATCAGAATGGCTAAACCAGAAAATAATGACAACATCAAATGCTGGTGAGGATGTAGGAGAAGTTGATCACCCATTGTTGGTGTGAATGGAGACATGATCCGGCCACTCTGGAAGAAAGGATTGGCAGCTTCTTAAAAACAAACTAGACGTGCAACCACCACATAACCTAACAATGATCCCAGAGAAATGAAGACCTATGTTCCTACAACATCTTG